GAAAATGTGGACATGACTTTGGAACTTTGGTAATGGGCAGTGGTTGGAAAATTTGGAGCTCTCAAAAGAAGATGGAAACATGAGGGAAAGTTTGGAATTTCCCAAAGAGTTGTTGAATGCTTGTGACTAAAATGCTGATACTGATATGGACGGTGAAGTTCGGGCTGAGGTGGTCTCAGATGGAGATTAGTAACTTATTGGGAACTGGAGTAAAAGTCACTCTTGATATGATTTAGCAAAGATATTGGTGGCATTGTGCCCCTGCTCTAGAGATGTGTGGAATGTTGAACCTGGGAGATATGATACAGGGTATCTGATGAATGTTGAACCTGGGAGATATGATACAGGGTATCTGATGGAAGAAATTTCTAAGTAGCAAAGCATACGAGATATGAGCTGGCTGCTTCTAAAAGCCTATGCTCATTTGCATAAACAAAGAAATGACCTGAAACTAGAACTTATATTTAAAAAGGAACCATAATATAAAAGTTTGGAAAATTCACACCCTAATCATGTGGTAGAAAAAAGAAAATCATATTCTAGGGAGAAATTCAAGGCTGCAGAAATTTGAATAAATAAAGAAGAACCAAATGTTAATAGCCAAGACAACAGACATTTAGTTAATGCTGGAATGAGTTAAGACCTTGGGGGACTGTTTGGAAGGCATGATTGGTTTTGAAATATGAGAAGGACATGAGATTTGGGAGAGGCCAGGGCAGAATGATACGGTTTGGCTCTGTGTTACCAACCAAATCTCATGCTGAATTGTAATTCTCAGTGTTCGAAGAGGGACCTCTTAGGAGGTGACTGGATTACAGGGTGGATTGCCCCCTTGCTGTTCTCCTGACAGTGAGTGAGTTCTCATGAGATCTGGTTGTTTTAAAGTGTGTAGCATTTCACCCTTCTCTTTCTCTCTCTCTCTGCCTCTCTCTCTCTCTCTCTCTCTCTCACTCTCCTGTTCTGGTATGTGAAGAGTATGCCTGCTTCACCTTCATCTTCTGCCATGATTGAAGATTTCCTGGGGCTTCCCTAGCCATGCCTTTTGTACAGCCTGTGGAACTGTGAGTTAATTAAACCTCTTTTCTCCGTAAATTACCCACTCTCAGGTATGTCCTTATGGCGGTGTGAGAACCGACTAGTACAGGAGCTAAGCCATTGTATACACACTTCTACCAGTCACTGTTTACAAGCTGCCTCCGAAGAAGGACAATAACCTTGGGCTTGGAAGTTCCGTTTTTGAAGGCAATTCCTTGAAAAATGAGTTTACTGTGAGCCATCAGCAGCCAGGTAACTGAGGGAATGAACTTCTCAATCCCAAAGAGGAGTTCTGAGTAGCAGACTATAGTCTCCAATTAATCTACATATTTAATGGACACTAAATGTGATATAATGTCAAGGTAGCACTTTTTTAAAAAATATTTTTTTAAAATAGCCAAGTTAACTTTATTTCAGGATGTATTTGTTAGCATAGCTATTCTTTGGTTTTGATTGAAATTCTTAATTGATATATATGTACGTATTGTTGTTTTCTTTTTTCCTTTTTCTTTTTTTTTTTTTTAGACGGAGTCTTGCTCTGTTGCCCAAGCTGGAGTGCAGTGGAGCATCTCAGCTCACTGCAATCTCTGCCTCCCAGGTTCATGCCATTCTCCTGCCTCAGCCTCCAGAGTAGGTGGGACTGCAGGCGCCCGCCACCACTCCCAGCTAATTTTTTTTTGTATTTTTAGTAGAGATGGGGTTTCACCATGTTAGCCAGGATGGCCTTGATTTCCTGACCTCGTGATCCGCCTGCCTCGGCCTCCCAAAGTGCTGGGATTACAGCACTTGTTGTTTTCTATTTATATTCTATCTCTCTTACTGTATGGGAACCATATAGACAAAAATTTGAGGCTCTTGTATACCTTTGCAACTTCAGTACCTAGAACATTATCTGGCTAATAGTAAGAATTCAGTAAGATGTGATGCATAAATGATTAGATGGAGTGAGGAACACTTTGAGAATCTGCACAGCGATCACAAATTGTTAAAGTTAATGTACTAGCTTCTGTAGCCTTAACAGATATTTTATTTAGGTCTGAACTGACTCAGAATTAATGATGTTATTTTGTATTTTGTTGACACAAATATCAAGAGGTATCTGCTTCAAATATGGACATTTTTTATTACTAAATGTTTATCCTTTTATTTATGTGTTGTGACTTACTCTCACTAAATAAGACAATAAAAATATCAATTGTGGTTGAGACAAAAGTTATACTTAGTGGTTTTATGCACTGCATGCATAAAACAAACATAACAATCTGTTCATTGGAGCACTGAGAAGAATACTGTGTATCTGATATATTAGAAGTTTTACTCTTTCTGAGCAACTAATTTTGTTTATGCAATTAATGAATCTGGAAATCAGATTATCTACTAAATTGTTTTGTTTTCAACACTCATATAAGCCTTAAACTGCAATTCCAGATGTAACGTACTATTAAAAGCCCCCAGAATAGAAATAGTAGGCTTTGTTTTTATTCAGGCCTTTTCTTTTAGTTTCTTCACTGTAAAAACCTTTCAGACATGTGTATCTGAAAGCAAGGTTACCAAAAACAAATGTTTCAGTGCGTAATGTGTCTCAAGCAACTGTCTATATGCAGTGTCTGCTCGGTGTTTTAGGTAGAGGTAGTATTCAACTCTATACTGATAATGAAAGAGAGTGGAGTTTCATTGCCATTTTCAACAGTCTTGTTCTCATTGTCAGGAAATAAGGTGTTTTAGAAATTGATGAAATTATAAACACGAAAAAAGAACAAGGCAAACAAAACTTATTTATCACTGAAGAACCTCTGTTGCTATTTAAGCTATATGCAAGGGACATCTAATTATTTCCTAATTAGGGCTGGCTCTTATAAAAATCATCCAACTGAGAAAAAAGTGCCTCCTTTTAATTTACATATATATGTATGCATATGTGTGTGTGTGTGTGTTTATACACATTTCAATTCTTTAAAAGTGCCCTTTTAAAGAATTCATTAACTTGCTTGTATAAAGTTGTATGAGTAACTCTGGTTTACTAGAATTTGCATTTTTAAAGTCCCCAATGAGATATTCATATTGTAAGAAATGACATATACATCCTTTCAAAAATTTTCTCTCTTCATGTCCCGTCCTGTTAACTTTACCTCCAAGTTATCATGTGTTATGTATTCACATTACTAGCATTCAGATTTTCTTCTCCTCATTCGAACTGGTAGAAAGTGATTTGGATTATTTTTGTTTTACAATTAACCTGTTTTTCTTTTAGATGAATCTCATTTATATAGGCCTGAGACAGCCCGATGAGTCCAAACTATGGAATTGGGACTCAATTTTTCCAGACCCCAGGTTTCCATTTTCACTGGCTGTTTTCTCCAAGCTCCTCTCTCATTTTCATTCTTCAACCATGTTCAATGATTTCTCAACCTAATGCTCTCTCAACTCTTCCAAATGCAATCTCAACGAGAACCTGAAGATCATCTTGAAGATAATCTTGAATTTAAAACTCTTCATTCTCCTAGGTTGAACCAAATGTAACTGCATATTTTGTGAGTAAAACACAATTGAATACTAGCAATATTTTGTATTTTAAAGGTTATACATGAGAAAGCTGAAGTTTAAAGGGCTTAAATAATTTGCCCAAAAGTCAAATGTTGGGTTAAACTGGGAGGCTAGTCCAGAAACCAGATATTTATTTTTCCATATACTCACTATTACATTCCACTGGGCTACTTTACACATATGTGTTATTTTCCTTACTCCCAAATACATTGACTTGGGGATTCCAGGTAGGCAGCCACCTATTGCAATAACTCAAAATATTTATCCTGTTTCATACTGTAGAAATGCAAAACTGACTTTCTAACATAGTAGTAATGTAAAAGAGACAGTAGAATCTTTTACGTCTTAATTTCAATGAACGATGCAGTGAACAATCCTAGTGCCTCCCCCTTTAAATATCACCCTCAAGAGCTACATTTCAAAAATGTTGACTCTGACAACCACCTTTGCATCTCCCACAGTATAATGTTTCACAAAGGTTTGTTGAATTGAATATAATGGAATTGAGTGAAACATGAAACCCCCAGTTCCTACGGATTTTTGTCAAACACATACTCCCTGGTTGTATTTCTCAGTTCTCAAGGTTTCAAGTTTCCATCCTCATTGTTCTTGCAAGTTATTTTACTGATGCCACAAATTTAGTACTAAAACTATTTTTCATTCATAAGGTCACAGTTTAAAATTAAAAATAAAAAATATTAGAGGTTACCTATTTTGTGAGTTTTTTTTTTTCATAATGTAATATAATAAACCTTAAAATAAAAATATACGTTAAGGAAATTAATTTTATCCCTGACTAGACATTTGGAAATCTTATTCTCTGATTATAAGAAGAGTCATTAAATATCTATTGGCTCGCCTCATTCAAATCAATTGTTTCCAGTGAATTCAAATAAGAAAGTCACTGAAATAAATCACCAACTTGAATATGCAAGGCTAAACTACTATCTATCAGTTAATAATTTGAATTCCTAAAATCAATTTCTGTATATGTTAAGAATTAATCACTTTGGTAAATTAATTAATATTGAATAGTTCTGTAATATTCTCATTAAAAAATTCAGTATTAGGCATTTTCCCTCTTTGTTTTTAAGTTTTATGTGTTTCTTCTAATAGGCTTGTTTTATACTTAGAGGAAGCTCCTATGTCAAAACATAAAATATTTGCACCTAATCTTTCACAATGTCTCAAATGAGATTCACTAAAATATCAATATATGTAAGGGCTGATTTTAAGCTTTTTAATGCAATTAAACGTGTTTTCATACATACTACTGTCTGTTATGACTGTTCCTGAAATGTCAACATATTCAATATGTTCTGTGTATTAGATAATTAGGATGATTCCCCCAAAGCAATGATATTAACTAAGGTTGACACTCAGGGACTAATGAGAAAGGAAAAATAAAATTGCAGAGAAAATTGCAGGAGAAAATATTTTTAATATAAAGGTCAGCAATGGAAATATAGGGTATTAGTACTTAACTTAACCCAAAACAGATAATAGAAAAAAATGCGAAGGTCTTTTTAATTATGGGAAATACTGATTGAAAGTATATATGAAAATAATCAACTAAATTCATATATGTGTTAAATAACCAGTTGCAAATATTCAAGTCAGCAAATTGAAAACTGCAAGCATCTGTGGCTATCCCCAGTTTTCTTTCCTTTAACACTTTCAGTAATTTAGCGACACAAGTGAAACTTTATGGCAGTCACAAAAGTATGTAGCTGAAAGATAAACTTTCGATAGTTCCTGTTCCTTTCAGGATACGTCATACATCACACACATACCGAAACAAATACTCGGTGAATGCATCCATTGATCGATAACAGTTTGCAGGTTGGTCATCATATTTTTATTTATTCAACTTTTGTCTTTGCTTTTTTCTGTTCTTTTCAAGCAGGGTCAAACACAGTCTTTCTGATCCGCTACAACCAGGTGCTCTCTGTACAACTCTCCCTTTCTTCTTCAGTAGGGGATGCATTCACCACACTGATGCATGGCTTTTGATGATCCGAAAAACGTGGGTGTTCCTCAAGAGCTACTGATCTAGATGTCTTCATTGCTAGAAATAGATCAAAGGAGACCTTCTCCAAAACGGTAGAATGATATCACAAAGAAAACCCAAGATGATTAAAGTTTTACTGTCAAATTATATTCTCACCACTAAGCAAATCCTGTACCTCTTTTAACATTTGGTAGAAAGACCAAAGAAACTACCTATATTAACATGTTATACTTATACTCACTAACTCATTCTTTTTTCTGAAAAAGTGGGTAAATGATCATAATTCTTTAGGTCAAATGATGAAGCCTGTGCCTACCGGAATCAGCAGTGCATTTCAGAATTAACTTATCTATGTTGCTAGGAGTTACTGAGACATTTGAGACTCTTGATGTATCACAATTTTAGGGAAATAAAGTAAAAATACTTACCTGTTTGGATTTTGGTTGCATCAACTTTGAAAGGGAGAAATAATTGAACTGACAAGTAAACATAAGGGTATTTTGCAAGTATACATCTTAAAGCTAAATGCTACAAATGTATAATAAATTTACTTTGGCAAAATTGTGTACTGCACAGTTTGTAGAAAACAGTTTGATAAATGTGATAACTTAACATCTTTATTTTTTGTGATAATGATGGTTATAGCAAATTTCAAAATCATCCAGGGTGCCTACACTATAAATTAATGCCACTTTCAAAACAGAGATGGGAAGTTTTACTGTAATAATTTTTTTTAAAATGTAAACTTAATTTTAAGGTTTTTTAAATAAAATGTAACTTAATTTTTACAAACTGTATTTTACCAATTTTGTAGCCTAAAGAAGAATGCATTCTACCAGAAACCATAAGCTAAATGGCTTTTTGATTCTTGGAGGCCATTCTCACTTTCTCTGATATCCAGTTACTTATTTTTGCCATATGCACAACCAAGACAAAATTACTCAACGTTCCTCTTAAGGGGCAAAAGTCACTCCCCTTACCTTACTCTTCTGAGCACCGCAGCTGACATTCAATTCTTATATTGGCATTTCATTATCTGTATAATGAAGAGAATCAAATTTATATAATAAAAATAAAATTAATGGACCTGGAACATAAATCATATTTTAAAAGGCTTGATATTTGGGAGAAACAACGATAAATACAAACTATGTACAAAAAATACTGAATCGAGTTTGAAGAATTAGGAATTATTTGGTAGATCGTGGATCTAGTCACCTACCAGATGTAGAAGCTGTTGCAAATTAACCGAAAAGGAGCCAGGAGTTGAAGAGGAGACAGAAATATCACAAAGAGCTTTTAGTGAGAGCTTAATATTTATAGTAGTTTTAGGCAAGGTGAGATTAGTCAAACTTGTCTAAATTGGATTCAAAGTGATACCATGTGGGTTAGATTCTGGATTGGCGAAGCTTTAACACTGCTCTACTGAAATAATTGTCTTTAAAGTAAGTAACAGATTGCCTTTTTATGTGCTGTTGAAATTTATACAACGTGAAGGTAATCTATGAAAGAGTAAGGATAAATTTGAAATTAAAGATCCTTAAAATCAATTAACCGATCAAATTATATAACCTTTTAAAATGTTTCATACTAACATTTATCTATTACTGACAGAGAAACCAAAGAAAGCAAAAATTCAGAATTTAAATTTTTTTATAAACCTGTGTCCCAATTTTTTACTGTAGTGCTTAAACTGTCATATCCTTGGCAATTAATTCTGCTGTAACTTTATTCTCTTTTTATAGTTTTTAACACTCAAATTAAGAACATAGTCTAATGTAAACCTAGCTGAATTGAAAACAGAAAATGTATGTAAATATATATGAGAACATGTATATAAAAATATGTATTTTTTAAAGGTACCTTTAAAAGTCTTTCATATTATATCTCACACACACACACATGATGTGAAGATCAGAAGATCACTTGTAACCACCCAATATGAGCGAGTATATTTTTAAGAAATATAGTGTTCAAATATTGTTTTATCTCCTACAAGAGTAATTTATGGCTGTTTTATGGTTTTCATTTGGCTATGTCACTCTAAACCTACTTTGCTAACAAAGGGTAAACACGGTAGGGAATGAAATATCTTTTAACAAATAAGAAACACAGCAACAGCATGTATGTGATAGGAAAAATTAAAAGTTCCTGAGTAAATAAGTATACATGAATTGACTTCAATCTGAAGTGCTTTGTTATCCCTGAAAATTAGCTTAAATTCATTGAAGATTATTAGGACCCATTTAAATGGTTCACCTACTTGGATTGGGTGTCTTTTTAGTATCAGAACTGAATGATATCTATTAGATTGAATATTTTACACTCACAAGAGGTTTAAAAAACTAATCAACAGAAGTAGACTGTATGCTAACTAATCACTGAGAGACTCTTGATCAGAATTGCGCATTGCCAAGAGGCTCTCAAACAGGAGCGAACATGCCCTTTCTTAAGAGGACCCTGCTGCATAGCTGTGTTACAGTTTCTTCAATAAAGGAGAACTCTAAAAAAAAACACACACTATGAATGCCTAATGTAGCTGTCCAGTTCATCGCAAGGTCAAACTGTAAAACTTTAAAATCCAGTTAAGACACTTATAAGTACATCCTGTGAAAGAATTCTTATTCTATAAAATGTCATGGTAATGTTAAATCTAAAATGCTAAATCAAAACATTATTTCACTGGGATCCAATTTATTATATAAAATAATAATCAAAATGTTAGACTTGATATGAAGTATGACTTATATTTATTTTCTCCTTCTTCTCCTACTTCTTCTTCTTCTTCTTCCCCCTTTCATTTGCTCCATTCTCTTAAAATCTATGGTCTTTTGAATAAATTTATTTTAGTTCCCCATCCTTAGCCTCAAAACTAATCTGTCTTTTCTTAGAATACTTAAAATTTGACTGTATGTATTCTGTTACTGTGTGTGGGTTGCATTTATTTTCCCCTCTCTGTTCTTTGCAAAAAGTATTTTTTCTTTCTAGAATGTGTTTGCATACATTAGAACACATTGTACGCAGAGGTAAACACTAGAATGTTTCCCTCTGTGGTTCTCAGTGTGAGCTGCATATTTGGGTTACCTAAAGGACCTTGACAACCATCTTTGAGGACTGCAGATTTATTTTATTATTTCATTGCTTAGGGATAGGTCGGGAATTGTTTTCAAGTTCACTAATTATAATGTTTAGTCAAAGTTATGAACCACTAGAAACCCGCCTTAAACACTCTTGGAGATACAGGACAAGTGACACCTGTAGGTTTGTTGCTTTCTATAACACACCTTCAGAAAAAAAAAATAATTTTCCTTTCAACCGTTAGCACTTACGCACCATCCTACTCATATAGTTGTCAATATACTGTTGAAGAGCCTCTTAAATAGTGATTTAAGACTTTGGTTATTTTGGGGCATATTATATTGCCATATTTTTCTTCCTTTCTTATAGATTCTTATGGTCAGACATTATGGTTTATACATCTTTGTTTGGTGCTGTGCCTTGTGTACTTCATATGCTAAGTAAAGTTTTGTTACGTTAGTGTAAACTAATGTATTATCCACAACTAAATATATTCTGATCCCATAAAATTAAATATACTTGTTCTACAATCTTCACATATAATTTATCAGGAATTGTTAATCAAATAAAGGGTGTACTCTTAAATACGTACACATAAGTATTAATATTTAGAGATGTGTGTGTATCAAGTTCCAAGGAAGAATTAACAATAAAAGTTTTAAAAATAAAAGAAGAAACAAATCCAAGATGATATTACTATTTGTTTTCTATATTAAAAAATAAAAAATGAAAAATGATGTATCATATTCTAACCTTACTAAAGGTTATATGTGATTTTCTTTTTCTCTGAATTTCCATGCTTTGAATAGTACGTTGGTCAATATAAATGCTTGACAGCATTTTATGGATTTAAAGAATTAAATAATGAATCTATTTTTATGTATCCTATAAAATAAACAGAAGTAATTATAGAATCATAAATTTGGACTGAATCAAATAAATTTTTCTTTGTAAGAATTAGGGACTGGTACAATAAAACAAGCATACAGATTATAACAACTTCCCTGATAAGGAGTCCCAGCTATCTGCGAAGGATTTGTATAGAATACTTTAGGTACGGTCTTTTTGGTTAGAATATTTGAACATTGGACTATATATTTTTTTCAAGATAATAAATTGTAATAGACCAGCTATGATTTGGAGAAGATAATTCTCAATAAAAATAAGATAACTTGGCTTCAACCTATAATGTGTGCCAAACACTTTGTTGAAGTGGTTTTCTTTCCTGGAGTAGAATAAGTTTTATACCAGGCTTATGTTGAGGTGTTGCTATGGTAACTATGTATGTCTTGCAAACTGTAAACAATTGTGTAAAGTGGTCAAATAGAGCACATGTTTATAGCTGGACTAGTTCAGTTCAAATATATACATTCAATTTTTAATATTATCTTTACAAAGAAATATTTATTCACTTCAGATGGATGTTCAGAACCCTATTCCAAAAGATTACAGCCATTTGTGTGTGGGTACATGTATGTAATTGGGGGGAAAGTGACATTTCTTTCCATTTTCCAAATCATAAAGTGAGGTGATTATAATACAGACAACTAGAATTCACAGTTCATCTATATAATTATTATGAGTAGTCTCTGAAAACATGCCAAAAGCTTTTCTAAGAATTAGGCCCTCAGGTATAAAGATTAGCATGGTTAAATTGACTGCTGGCGATTTGAACAACCTCTAAAGGCTCTGCATAAAATCCATTGACAATGAAAATTTTCATTTGAAAAATGTGCTGCCATGGGCAATCTATGCTAACCAATTTATAGTCTCTATTTTTATGGGAGTTTGGAAGAAAATGCTTTTAAATCAGCCAAACAAAACTCCCTGAATATGTTATAGATTCATACGTGATGACTTTGCCACCATGAAAAAGATAGAAATTATAAAAAGTCAGAGGGCATGCATCTTCTACATGCATCTAACTCTGCTATGGGTTTGAAACAGGGAGTGATGTTTCTATGCTGTCCTCTATGCTAAATCCCTGAATGAGACAGTGGAATGTAAGACTAAGGTTCTTGTCTAATAACATTTATTCCCAAGGAAAATGTAACTTTGAAAAGCACTTATAATATACAGAAGGTAATTATTAGTAGCAACACCACAGCCATACTCAATATTCATATATTTTCAATGTCATATGGAAAGAGTAACAATTTAGATTCACTCATTCAACTGATAAACACATTTTCTAATTAGTAGTATATAACTATTGTCACATTTGGGGTGTCCTACAGATTTTGAAAACTACTGTTAACCAAGGAAATGAAGAGCATTTTCTATCTCCAGATTGGTCCTAAATCTGGGGATAGAAAAATAAAATTTAAAAAAATGTGCTCGACTTTGACTTATCTTCTGTGTTATTTTATTTTCCTATTTTCTGGAAATGTGTTGCATTTATCCATTTGAAAGATGTAATGTTAGCAAATTCAGAGAAGTCAATATAATTAAAAATTAAGTGTGTGAGACAAAAGTCCAGACAACAGATTTTTATAGCTAGAATGAGAAAAATGAGAATATGAGAAATTATGTGTTATGCTGTTACTGTAAGGAATGATACACTTTGTGACTAAATGTATTAATTATCCAGGATATTTTCTCATTATTGTCATGTGAAAGATGAAATTTCATTATTCTCAAAAAATGTTGACTTTGTTTTATCCATCTTTCAAATATCAACACAGAATAGAAATTACAGAAAAAAGTAAATTTAAGAGAAAATTATGATGTCATCTATCTGCTTAAAAACTCAAAGAAAATCTTCACAACTTTCCAAGGCAGATACCAAGGGTCGGCCATTACATTAAGCAGTACAATAATGGGACAAATGCTTCTGGATTTTCACTCCTTAGGAAATGCATTCAATTTCTTCCTATTTTGACACTAATATTAGGTCAGCCCACCTCTGAAAACATTGTGTTGAAATGGCTGTCTTCATATATTCCTCATTGTGGTTCTTTGGTGAAATTGTCACTTTAGAGTCAAATTAGGGATCATTCAACGAGAGCCACAGCAGCATTGGTAATCAGCCTCAGGTTATTTCTTCCACATGAGAATTTTCAAGGCAGTCACTCATAGTTCATATCACACTTTTCCAAAGCATGAATGTCTATTGGTTGCATCGTGTAATGAGTCTGAATTTAAGTTTATAATTGTATAAATTTATGGATTCTGGTTGGTAGTATTTGGTTTTTGCATTTGACTCCAGGTTTTCTTTGTTACCAAAATATTATTTTTCTTTTTAATATTTTCATATCAAATTTTATTGCATCAATTTATATTAATAACTTATAGCCTATTGTTTTAGGTCATGTTTCTTCCTTAATTTAGGAAAAGTTCCTAATAAAATTTACCATCATGTAGGCAAGGATCCTACGTATTAATTAAATAAACACTATGCTTTTTTTGTACATTCTATAATGTAAAAGAGCTAAAAGACCCTGACAAAAGACACACTTCTTTGAAATGTGTTAACAATTTTAACAATGAAGTTACCACAGTGTTAACAATGAAGGGGAACATATTGAGTTCAAAGAGTAATTTTTTTCAGATATTTCTCTTTTTCTAAATCTCAGACAACTACATTTTAAAATTTGAAGAATTTAACTACGAAGAATCATTCACAATTTTAATCTCATATATGCCTTACCTTTTAATATTTGTACAAAACTGAGCTGTTTTAAGTCTTCAATGACACTTTAGATAATCATTCTATAAACAGAGCAGAATCCACCCTCATAGAAATACATACTTTTGGTCATTTGAAATTCTGAATGTGAAGAGATAAATAGTATCATTTTAGTTTAACAGCTTGATCTTTGAAGTTTACATATATTGACTAATTTTATTCTGACAATAGCATTGAATATGGTGAATTGATCACAGTATGGTGCATCAAATTGATAATTCATAATCTATAGTTCATTAATCTGTAAATACTTAAGAAACCAAAATATCTGTCCCAGTGGGTAAATAGTTAAAAACTAACTTGTGAGTATCTGTGCACCATTTTTTCTCTCTTTGCTTCTGGCCTCATATTTTTCCATACTCAGCAGGGATTTCATGGCTGACCACATTGTTGCTTTCACAGCACTCTCCTGCATACTTGTCACCAAACCTCCAGGTCAATCTCAAGTTTACTCTTGAAGAAATGGAGTCGAAGATGAAATAGAAAATAATTAGGTAAGGCCTCTCTAGAGAGGGTGGTTACAAATTACCACAAAACATATCGACTTAAAATAACACACATTTCTTACCTTACAATTTCTGGGAGTCAGCAATCTGAGTTTGACTTAACTAGGTGCTCTGCCTAAGGGTCTCTCACAGGATTGCAATCAAGGTGTCATACATGACTCTCATCTGAAGGTCCAGTTGCTGATGGATCTACTTCCAAGTTTAGTGGTTGTTGGCAAGAATCAGTTCCCCGTTGACTTTTGACTAGAAATCTTCCACAGTTCTTTGTTAATTTGGGTCTCTCCATCAAAATGTGCAAGTCAAAAAAGCAATGGAGAGGATGGTTTAGCAATATGGAATTCATAAACTTTTGTAAGTTATTACATGATTGACATCTCATCAACTTACTGTAGTTTATTGATCTCTAGGATTAGTTTATACTTGCAAGGAGTGGAATACACAAGGACATGAATACCAGAAAGTGAGGTTTATTGGGAACTACGTTTGAAGTCTTCATAACATAGTCAAACAAAAAATTGTTGTTTTCCCTAGTAGTCAGATCTCTAAAGAGCCATTTTAATACAAAACTGTGTTAATTCCATTTCACTTTCATTAAAACAATGAAACCATGTCACCCAACTACTACTTTGTAACAAATGTTTCCCAAGAGCATTGGAAACTTGTAGTCTAACCAGATGTATACCCTAACGTGGTTTCACAATCCCTTGAGAGAAAGAAAGTAGAAATCTGAAAGAAGAGGGAAAACAGTTATACAAATGGCAAGTGTTTAAATTTTTTGTAATCTGGATAATATGAACAATGTTACTGGAATTGCAGATGGATAAAGAAAGGGAAAAAGGTAAAGGGATGAATAAGAAAGCCAGAGTAATATTTCTTAAAACTAGTATCAAATCATGTTACTTGTCTTCCTTTAAGCCGTCAGTAGCGTCTCTGAGCCTTGGGGCTTAAACTTATCAGTTCCCCATACTCTGCATGGTCTCAAAGTGATTTCACTCCCACCTAACTCTGACCTCATGTCCTGACTCCTCTATTCCACTCCTGCCTCTCCCATAGTTCAATTGAGTCATTTTTAAGTCCTCATGAACTGCAAAACTTTTGCAACCTTGGGTATACTTACTTTTCCCTTTGCCTGAAAGTTTTTATTTCACATTTCACATAATGAATCCTTCCCTAGATTCTGTGTTCACTAATAACAAGTCATGACCACTCTTTTATCTGAAAATTACTTTGAGCCAAGCAAGAGCCTCCTCTATCTGGCAGCTATTTCCTTCTACTGAGCTATACTCTCCCTCAGACTTGAATCCATAACTTGTTGACTAGGATACAAAAGGAATAATTGTCTCTCCTTCTAAAATGCATGAATTGTGCTCATTGTTTCTTTATAGTAGGCATTACTGTTTATAATTATTTTATTCATTTTTTTTGCTCATATTTGTCTATTGCCCCTATTTGGATGAAGGCTCGCAAAAGGAGGCAGGATATGTCTTTTTTCTTGATCACTGTCAAAACTTCCACAATTAGGAAAGTGTCCAGATTATGGTAAGCTCTCAATAAATATATTTTGTTTTTAATAAAATATTGTGAATTAATTATTTATTTGATCAGAACTGAAGTGTGTTATTTTTGCCCTATTTGAATTTAAACAATGGCATGTCTTGTCTGTCTTGGCTGCAGCTATTGCTTGGATATGATTTGTCTGTCCCCACTTAAGCTCTTGTTTTAAATTAATACCCACCTCCAGGTAAGGTGGTGTTGGAAGGTGGGGCTCAGTGGGAGGTGTTTGGGATGTTGGAGCAGATCTCTCATGAATAACTTGCTCCTCTTCTAGGTAGTTAATGAGTTACTGCTCTCATGAAGCTGGACTAGTTCCCTTGGGAATGGATAAGTTCCAATGAGAAGGAGCTGGTATAAAGCCAAGACATCCCCCAGGTCCTCTCTTCACACATGTCTACTTCCCTTTTGACCCTCTCAGCCATGTCATGACTCAGCATGAAAGCTCTCACCAGAAGCAAGTGTCATGCCCTTGAACTTCTCAGCCTGCAGAACCACGAGCTAAATAAACCACTTTTTTTTGTAAGTTACCTAGTCTCAGGTATTCTTTTATAGCAACACAAAATCTAGTAAGCTCTTTTATGTCTAGAATTAAAGTAGTATATTATAGTGCCCCCAAGTAGTCACAGTTCATATTTTGGTGCCTATGTAATTATTAATACCACTCCCTTTATTCTCAAGATATCCTGGTTGGACTGATACATTAAATGGCTGCTGTATTTGTGTCTCCTAAAACCTCTCTCTTCCAATCCTTTATTACCTTTTTTAATGAGCTTTTTACAAAGAAATATCTTTATAAGAGTAAAATTTCATCTCTCTCGGGTGTAAGACCTTGAATAAGTCAAATGTTTTTCAATGTATATTTACTATCTTTTAAGGGTATTACTCATACCCACATTGTAGAGTTGTCATGATTTGTAAATGGCACAATGCTCATAGAGAGTCAGATATTAGGCATTTAAATGATAGTTCCCCTCACCAAAGATAACCATGAGAACCAAGCTCCCAGGAGTTTAATATATATATATATACACACACACACACACACACACACACATACACACACATTATATATGTACATATTATATATATATATAATACTGGGTTAAGTACATACTTTATTTTCTTGATCTATTGCACTTGGATATGTAAAATATTTAAATGGAGCTGCAGAAAAAATAAAGTTAGCATATAATATACTTTCTGAAATTTAGTCCTCTTCAAAGCAGTCACCCACTTTGATGACCAAGCATTAAAATGTTTATAAATAGTGCATTTAAGATTGAACAAAATACATTAAACTTGTGCATTTAAATAGGGAATGAATGGCATCTTTCAACATATATTTATAACCTAAATTACAATTATTAATGTAAATAATTAAAAAGGAATGATCACTACTTTTAGTTATGCTAATGTTTTCTTTTTTCTTGAGGAACATAGAGAATCTATGTCAGTATTATCTGAAAATTAAGTTTTTACTTTTATGCTGCCAGTAAGTAACACTTTGGGTACATGCATTTAAAAATTAATACTTAGAATGTTTATTTATCCCAATTTACTTATCAAAGCAAAGGAAGCCCTAAAAATATGAGAAGGTAATTAGAAAATCAAGTAAGCTACCTAACCACAGCTTTAAAAGTATGTGAGTTAGAAAGCCAAAATTCTTCTATTTGAAAGTCAACAACTCAAATCAATGTAAAGGAATGTTGTTTTCCGTAAAGATTACTAAAGTCAGATTGCAATGACATCCTCTCCCTCCAAACTGTCAAGCAAATAAACAAAAGCTACTTTAAGTCTCTAGTTATATACATAAAATTATAGGAGGAATGAGTCAAAGCAAGAATCACTCAAGCCTTAAAAATATTGAAAATTTTATTGTTTATTAAGAAAGTAAAGGAATAAAAGAAAGGCTACTCCATAGGCAGAGCCGCCTGAAATATGTTATAATTGAGAACTTCTACTCTGCTGCCTTGATTGAGGGCCTTTTTATTAATAATTTTTGAAACGATCAAGTAGAGAAAAATGTTAGTAGGCCAGGATGTGGGACTTTCGGTGTCTTCAGCAGCTACTGTTGACCAGCCTTTTCTTTTCTCTACAATAGCAAGTAGTAGCAATGATAGGAAATGAGAAACGATTTGACCAGGGTGAGTGATAGAGCAGAAGGTTATCTCATATCTTTCAGAAGTCTTGGAACATCTGGAATTGTTCAGTTTATTTCACATGGGCGATAAAATGGAAAAGCTGGTGTATAGTAATTTAGTGGCTTCCCACTTCATCATGCATTCTTTCTATTTTTGCAATAGATTTGATATGTGTTTTTATTTTTGAATGCTAAATGGTGTTCATTATATAAACGAAATGAGCCACTTGGTGACTATGGAGACATTGTTTCTACAATCTGGCAAAAATTAACTGAACAACTGCCATGAGTGATGATGGGAAACTAAGTCTTTGCATATGCTGAAAAAATATAAAAAATAAATTCCATGTGTATTGCATATCCTTCAATTCACAGCTGGTTAAGCCATTAAAAGTACCACATTTTTTTCCAATTTGCTTCACACTGAATGGAATTTATGAGTCTATTTGTAAAATTAACATTCATTCTCCCCTATTATTAAGATTCTGATTATCTTGTTTTCAATTTCCAAGACTACAGCCTCAACTCTTTCTCCCTTTAGTCCTCTGTTTTACACTACTTTTTTCATTATTTGTTACTAAGTCAGGTGATGGTCTGGCAAAGTGGAGAAATAGTGAAACTAATGGATCTAGCAATTTATTAAAAGCCTTGATGAATTTGGAGGTTGATGGGTATTTAGATAATAGCGTGATGGGTGAAAAGACAGATGAGAGACAGAGACATTTCTTTCTTTCTCTCTCTCTCTTTCACACATACACACACACACACACACACACACACACACACAGACCCCACCCTCCCACCCCCCCACACACATTTATATATGTGAATACCATCAGCAAGTCTTGCATAGGGCAGGGACCTTTTCTTACTTCCCGACTCTGCTCATATGCTAGTTTTATAAAGTTTAACTTTCAATGCTCTATTTATATTGAACTGGTTGGTTTTATTATTCATATTTATGAGTCTCTTGCTGCCTTTCATGATCATTAAACTGCTTTCATTTCTTCTCCAGTGATCAATTTTACCCATTTCTTAAATTTTCCTCTTAAAAGATCACGGTTCAAGTTCATTTAATGGCTCCTCATTTAATAACTACATAACCTCAGATAAAATTAACTTTTTTGAATCTCAATATCCTCATCAAAAAATAAGGTTATCATGACTCATTTATTTCACTAGAAGTTTGTAATAATGAATAATAGTAAATGTGAAAATTTTGGTACAGTATAAAGTATATTTAAAATTAAATAAATTATTAAAGACTAAGACAACATACAAGCCACATTGTGGAGCAAGTCATTTCAGTCTATTTAATGAGCCACATGTTACAGTCAGGCAAAGGGTAATGTCATAATTTTCTTTTGTTTCCTTTGTTTGCCAAACATAATTTTTTACATGTATTAAAATGTGGAAAAAATAAACCAAGCATCTCTTAATGACTAAGTGCTTCAATGATGGCTTTTCTACCAGTTTTGTTAGAAAAAAATTCTTAAGGCATTCATATGATAATTACAGTTTTGTTTCAGCTGTTATGATTATAATAAAATGTGATTATTTTTGTAGTTTTTTAAAAATTACAGGTT